TATTTGAATAGACACAAATCTTGGTCCAGAATTGATATGATATGGATGTCTCCTGAATTAAGAACTAACATACATGAGATTGAGATAGAATCTAACACCTGGGCAGACTACAATCTGATAAAGCTGACTTTGAGAGGAGTAAAGAAGAAATTAAGATGGACATTAAATCAATCCCTGATAAAAGAGAAACAATTTGTAGAAGTAGCAATAAAGGAAATAGAAGTCTTTTTAAAAAGAAAATAGAAAAGAAGAGACATCAATCTAGAACAGAAATGTCAAAACAAGGCCCGGGGGCCGGATGCAACCCGCAAAGTGGTTTCATGTGGCCCACGAAGCCATCCTGGAAACAGTGAGGGAACGGCCCCCGCTGCCTTGGCTCTGGACCAGGCCGGCCAGAAGCCAATGTACAATTTTGTGGTGGCCATCTATGCTGAAACGCATTCAGTCTTAGCTCCACAAGGCCGTCTAGAAACAGCGAGGAACCAGCCCCTGCCATATCGGCCCCATTCCCTGGGTGCATGTTGGGGAGGTGTCACCCTTTGTGAGGAATGAAGAAATGGACCATGCCTTGGCACTTGCCCCGGTCCCACCCCCTTCCGCCAGAGACCCTCAGATCTGTCCCAGGCCCCCACAGGCACCCTTGATGCGAACAATGTAGAGCTAGCCATGCCCATTCTATCCATGCTCACCCAGTAAGTGGCACCCACCCTGGCCACACCCACCAGGCCCCCCGAGGGCAACCGCAATGCTAATGCGGCCCTCAATGAAATTGAGTTTGACACTACTGATCTAGAACGTATGGGATTCAGCCAAAACATATTTCAGAGGATTAGCTATAACATATATTGCTAAAAAGAACAAAGAAAAGCAACAACAATGTACAAGAGCTGAGGTGGCGCAGCAGTTAGAGTGTACTACTGCAGGCCACTTTAGCTGACTGTGTTCAGCAGGTCAGCGGTTCAAATCTCACCGGCTCAAGGTTGACTCAGCCTTCCATCCTTCCGGGGTAGGTAAAATGAGGACCCAGATTGTTGGGGGCAATGTAAATATATATATACATTGCTTACTGGTGTACACCGCTTAGAGAGTGCTTGCACTTAAAGCGGTATATAAGTCTCATAAATAAATAAATAAATAAAATAAACAATGTACAATATTAAGGGAAGAATTTAAGAAACTGGAGTTAGAATTACAAATATATCCACAAAAGAAAGCTGTGAAAAGACAAATGGAGACAATGAAACATAAACTAAACTTAATAGAGCCAGAGGAATTGGCTCAACAAATGAAAAGGGCAAAACAAAACTTTTTCGAAAATGCAAATAAACTGGGAAGATGGCTGGCTTATAAACTGAAAAAAAGAAAGAGAGAAGAAATTGATAAATAAATTGCAAGATGAGAAGGGCGGTTTACAATTTTAAAATGATGCAATAAAAAGTAATTAAAGAATTTTATGAAAAATTATATGATGCAAAAGAAATATCATAGGAAAAAATAGTACAATATCTGGAAAATGCTAATCTACCAAAAATTCCAGAGAACTTTAAAAATATGGTAAATGAAAAAAAATATATAATGATAGAACTTATGGAAACTATAAAAAAAAGCATAAAACCCTGGGACCAGATGGGCTACTCACAGGGTTCTATAAATGTTTACAAGATACATTAAGCTCACCAATGAAAGAAGTTTGCAATGAGATATTATTAGAGGCTAAATTACCAAACACATGAACAGAAGCAAATATTGCTTTAATACCAAAAGAGGACTCAGATTTGACATAGATAAAAAAATTATAGACCAATATCACTATTAAACGTGGATTACAAAATCTTCGCTTCAATAATAGCAGAGAGACTGAAAAATCCAGATCAAAATGAATTTTTTTTACCCAAAAAACAAATAAAAAACAACTTAAGAGTTATTTTAGATACATTGGAACACTATGAAATGTACCCAGGAAAACAAATGGCACTAATTTTCTTAGAAACTCAAAAAAAATTTTGACAATGTAAGTTGACAATTTATGATACAACAATTAAACTGTATGGACTTTGGAGAAAAGTTTATAAAATCATTAAGACAATATATGATAAACAAACAGCAAAAGTAATTGTCAATGGGGACTATACAGAGAACTTTAATATAAAGAAAGGCACAAGACAAGGATGTCCACTATCCCCACTGTTATTTATACTAACTTTGGAAGTTTTCAACAGAAATATCAGAAAAAGATCTGGAAATTAACGGAATGGATATAAAGATGAAAGCTATAAACTTTTGCATTTGCGGATGACCTGGTACTCATTTTAGAAGAACTGCTGGAGACAGTTCAGAATAGAACTGGATAGAAGATAGAAGAATTTGGAGAAATAGCAGGATTGAAAATAAATAGAAAAAAAAAACCAAAGTTATAGTTAAAATCTTACAGATAAGCAAAAAAAAAAAAACAAAAAAAACCAACTGTCAGAAAAAATAGACTTACAAATAGTTAAGAAAGTTAAATATTTGGGAATATACTTAACAGCAAGATGTGCAATGATAAAAGAAGATAATTATATAAAATTACTAAATCAAACAAAATTAGATTCGTAAAAATTGAAAAACTTACAATTATCATTGTTAGGAAGAATAGCTACTGTGAAAATGAATATTTTACGAAAATTCCTTTTTTTATTCCAAACAATAACTATAAAAATAAAGAAAAAGTTTTTTGATGATCTGAATACACTGATCTCAAAATTTATTTGGCAAGGAAGGAAAGTCAGAATTAAACTGAAAATGCTACAAGAAGCTAAAGAAAATGGAGAATTTGGACTACCAAACTAAGTCTTATACTACCAAGCATGTGCTCTAACATGGTTAAAAGAATTGATAACCCTCAGAAATAAAAGATTGTTATATCTAGAAGGACATGACTTGCAACTTGGATGGCATGCATTTTTATGGTATGAAAAAAATAAAACCACTACATAGGAAACACATTGTCAGAATCCAATTATATTTCATCTTTAGTTATCAAATATAGAAAACCCCAATTCTGCCTTCTCTGGATTCTGCCATAAGAGGGAGAGAAGGGGGAGAACAAAGGGGCTTTATGGCCCTCACTTCCTTCAGTATACTTCTAAGGAACTGAATGTGTGTATTGCAACTTCAAAGAGTTTGAATGTGGTTAGCACCAAAAGGCCTCATCATAACAAAGGAGGCTATTTACCTTTCATGTAGTTTATCTGAAGTCTCCATCCAGACGGAAGAAAGGAGAAAAGGGGGTGGGATTGTGATGCCTGAAACTGTCACTGGAAGAGGGGGGTGATTGGGTGGGACTACTGGGGAACCCCTTAAAACCTCGAATGGGAGAGCTTGAACCCCAAGTCCTGTCTAGAACGCCTGCAACCATTTTCTCTTAATAAAGGATCCCTGTTGGAAGAATTATTCCAAGAGTTCTGTCTTCTTAAGATGCAAAGTGGGGTGGGTCCTTACACACATTATTATTTGTATGGGAAAAGATAAAACCAAAAATCTATACAAAAATCCCAGGATGGCTATCAACAATGGAAGCATTTGTTCACCCAAACTTAGTTAAATTTGAGAAAATTCTAAAATATAAGGATATTCTGAATATAGATGGGAAATTAAAATCTAAACAAGAGTTAGAAGATCAGGGTACTGACTTATCATGGTGGCCTCGACTGCAAATGCCATCAAGGTATGATAAAAATGTTAAAATATATGGTTTTTATAAGGATCAGACAATGTTTGATCAAGTGTTGTTGACTTCTGATGAAAAACTGATTAAGAAATTGTATAACTTTTTATTGAATTTGAAAATGGAAGATGAACAAGTGAAAGAAACAATGATAATATGGGCAAAAATTTTTGGATACAACATAAAATTAGAGAAATGGCAAAAATCTTTGCGAAAAAAACTATAAATTGACAATGGCAACTTGGTATAAAGAAAACTTACATAAAATGTTTTACAGATGGCATCTACCACCTGTCAGATTAGCAAAAATGTTTAAAAATATGTCTAGTAAATGTTGGAAATGTAATCAAAATCCTGATACATATTATCACCTGTGGTGGATGTGTGTTAAAACAAAAAAAAATTGAACAAAAATACATACTTGGATAGAAAAGATGTTAGGGAAACACGTAGAATTTAAACTTCAACTTTTTAAATTAGGTATAATTCCAGAAAAATTTGATAAACAAAGTGTATATTTAACATTACATGTATTAACAGCAGTGAGGATTGTATTTGCACAACACTGGAAAAATGAAAAAATACTATTGGATGAAGAGATAATCAAGAAAATACTGGACCGTGCTGAAATGAATGGACTTACATTGTCCACAGTTTGAAAGAATTTTTTTTATAAAATGATGTAACATTGGTATTTGACTCCAGATAGACTGGTGAAAATTATAGAGGGACTTCCAATAAGTGCTGGAAATGCAGTCAAACTCCAGGTACATTTCACCATATGTGGTAGTCTTGTAAATATGCTAAATCATATTGGGTAAATGTAATAATGACAATTATAAATTATTTTAAATATAAACGCTAATGAAACCTGAAATCTTTTTTTCTAGATATTATGGACAAATCGATAGATTTGTTTGGGATGTTATTAATTTATATGGTAACTGCTTGTGAGGATTGTTTATGCTAAGCATTGGAAGGAAAGGAGGACACTGACTATTGAAGAATGGATTTTAAAATTGACTGAACTGGCAGAAATTAACTGCATTGATTAGAGACAATGGATTATCCATTAGACAATGGATTAGAGACTAGAAGCTGTTTATGGACTTTCTGTGTTTAAACACAATAACTGATAGTTAACAGAGAGCTTTGAAAATTAGTTTTACCTATGGTATTATCTGTTGACTGCTTTTTATATATATACCGTGTTTTCCAGAAAATAAGTCCGGAACTTTTTCTTTTGCCTCCAAAAGAGGCACAAGGTCTTATTTTCAGGGGATGTCTTACTCACCTCCGGCACTGACAGCGCCGCCCAGCTAAAGTGGAATAAAGTAGAATAACGTAGAATAAAATGAAGAATAAAGTAGAATAATAATAATGATGATGAAAAAAATCATTATTCAAGTAAAATGATGTGTCTGCATAATTCCTGGAAGAAAGCTGTGTTAGCAAAAGCTGTGTTAACAATACGTGACTGACCTAATGCACATTGAGAAACATTGTATAAAGTAAAACTCTCTTCATTGTATGCCTGTGAGAAACTAACTGAATGATATACAATGTAGATTCCATGTGTGCTCCTTTGTTCCTGAGAAAGGGAAAGCTATAAAACTGTAGTTTGGACCCGCCCCCTTTGTTCAGAATTTGCTGTTGTTAATCGCTTCTGAACCTTGAGCAAATAAACCTCTCTGTTACACCCTCTGGAATTCGTAAAAGTCTTTTGTTTTCCACAAGACAACCGGTCCTTCTGGGGTCGAAGAAGCAGCTTCATACTGCAGCTGCATTCCGGCCTGCATTTTGCAGTCAGGCCTTTCCAGAAGGCCTATGCAACCAAGTACTGAGCTATGGATTCAATCTATGGCTTGGTCCTCAGCTGCAGAGGTCTTGCAGAACCGAGCTATGGGTTGAATCCATAGCTCGGTTCTTGGCTACACAGGCCTTCCTGAGAAATGCAGGCCTGGCTACAGAAGATGTGGGCAGACGAGGAGAGGCCTGACTGCAAAGTAAGCGGGTGTAGGGCGCATGGGACAGCTCCACACCCACACCCTAGCTTGATTTTTAGGTGTGTGCCTCACCTCAAAACTAGGACTTATTTTGGGGGTAGGGGTTATATTAGGCCTACCCCCAAAAATAAAGCTAGGGCTTATTTTTGGGATAGGCCTTACTTTCGGGGAAACATAGTATATGTAGCAGATGCTGGGTTGATTGAACTGATAGATAGATTTCCACATCAATGATATCTTTTTATGTAACAGAATTTTTATTAAATATAGTTGGGAAAGTTTATAATTAATGATCGTCCTGTTATATAAGGGGAGGAGAACATATCAGATATTTCTGATATATTTTTCAGCAGTGTGAATGATAGATACATATGTTATTTGCTTTTTTTTCCTCTTAGTACTTTTTTTTTAATTGTCTGGTGGTTGTTTGTTCTTCTTCTTTCCTTTATTTTGTATTTTAATTTTGGAAATAAAATAAAAATTCGTAAAAAAAAAGAAGCTCAAACAAATCAATTTTTGTCCCCCAATCCCCATGTTTTGTACTGGATATGCAACATCTCATTGTTCCTGGAGACAACACTATTCAATTTATATTTGCTGTCTCTTGCTTTTAGATGCTTGTAGTTCTCATCTTCCTATCTTTCTTTACATGGAAAATATAATATTTCTGGTCCTTTTCTCTAGAACAGAAAGTAGATGAAAGATGTTTGATCATAAAGTTATCTAAAACAAAATACTGAGACATAATTCCCTTACATTGTGGTAATAAGAAAAAAAAGAAAAATATTTAGTTTTTATTATCACTATACTTTTGATATCTTGACTCTAAGATTTAATAAACATTTATTTATTTAAATAATATTTCTTGACATTTCTCCAAATTTATTCTAGAAACATTTGCCATGACAAATAAAACCTAATATGATTTGTCTTCCAGGTCTTTCTGCAGACTAATAAAATTTTAGGTCTACAATGGCACTGTTTGCATGGATACATATTTTATCCATGGGAATATGATAATGAAAATGATACCGAGCCATCAATTCATTGTCAACTTGTAACAACCATATAGATGGATTTTCTTCATGATGATCTATCCATAATCTGCTTGGTCAAGTCTTCCAAAGCTGCATTCATCATCACTGTAACTGAGTGCATCCACTTTGTTCTTGGTTATCCTTTTCTTTCCTTTCACTTTTCCAACATTAGGGATTTTTCTAGAAAGCTAGGTTTTTGCATAGTGTGTCCAAAAGAGAATAATTTGAGCCTCATATCTGTGCCTCAAGTCAGAACCCTATATTGATGTTTGATGATCTATTTATATTCTTGGCTGTCCGTGGTATTCTCAGATGTAATCTCCAACACAAAAATACTCTTCTGATCCTGCTTCTTCAAAGTGCAACTTTTGCTTCCATACAGTATCACACAGACTATCATAGCTAGCATGATCCTCATTTTTGTAGATATAGTATAGACACATTACAGCATTTGAAGGCCTTTTGCAAGGCCCTCATGGCTGTCTTACAAAATAATAGTCTGTGACGTATTATTAAACTGCTTATTAATTTACTCTTGATGGTTGATTGTAAATGACAGAAGCTGTCTGCCGCTTTGATATCTTCACCAGAAATTCTAAGGCTGATTATATAGCTTTTGATATTAGTTTGATTTTCTTTACATTTAACTTAATCTCATTTTTCAATGCACTGCTTGACTTTTATTACTAGTGTTTGTGGATTCTTTGTACTTTCAGCTATTAGAGTTGGGTCAAGACATAGAACACAGAATAACAAGGTTAGAAGAGTCTTCTAGTCCAATCCCCTGCTTGAGCACTGAACAGGAGACCCTATACTATTTTAGAGAAATGGATGTCCAACTGTCTCCAAGTCGATGGCAGGGTAGTGTGATTCCTGCACATCTTAAATAACTGATTAGCAAAAAGTTAATCTACCATATTTCCTCTGCTTGGCTGGTTGGTCTGCAGTATACACCTATGGCAATGTCATTTTTTTTCTTTTATATTAATTCAAATGGTTTCTGGGTTTTGTTTTGTTTTTTTGCATTTCTGTAGAGGTATATTTATTTCTTACATATAATGCAGCTGCACTTCCTCTTTTTTAATATTTACCCAAATGTTTTCAAGAAGGCTTTCCTCCCTAATATTGTGCATTTCTGTGGAGTATAATAATTCCTTAAAATAAAATGAGACCCAGTCTTATTTTGGGAGAAACACGGTAGAAATTCCCTTGGACAAACATTTCTGCATATACTGGCATTAGACTATTGATTTTCATAGAACACTCAACGTCTGCAAGTAAACATTAAAATGTATTGAAAAAAATTAAAAATTACAGAACTTCTCCTTTTTACGAAGATCAGGTTTTGAAGCAGGCTAGTTTCAAAAATACCAGTATTTATTTCTTTGCAATATGACAGATTAATTATCTCTATAAAGTTTTTTCTGTTTGCAAATTGTATTTCATTTTACTGAAAAATTAAAATTACAATGATTTGTGGATTTTTCACATCATTCAACGTTTAAATTGTCATTTATCTTAACTTAAGCTGTCTGTGTGTGCGTGCACACATCTATAAGGTGAACATTTATGCACACATACAGCATATGTACAGTTTATGAGAAGTTAAACTTAAAGAAATATAAACATAATCTGACAGTTCTTCAATATTAATTAAATTTCAAGTATCAGAGATTTCATGCCAAAGCTGGAAACTTTCATTATGGCAGTCCTTTTAGTTGTTTAGACTGAATAAAATAATCTTAACTGAAGATTTAAACATTTAAGAGTTTACTGTCAACCTCCAGCTGAAAAGCCCAACCAAGCAAAACATCAGAGCCATTGTAAACTTCTAATGTAACTTTTATTGAGCAGAATCAAACCAGCAGGGTCAAAGGAAAGCTAGTTCTAAGGAAATGGCAGGAAGCCATTAAAAGAACAAAACTTCTTCCATCCCTCTCTAAGAGTACAGGTCACATTGTGCAATATATCTTCTAGTATTTATTATGAGAACAAACTTTAATTCGTCAAAATAATTCTTTGGTAACCCTCCCACTGGATTAAGTATTGTAACTTCCCCTTGTGGATTCTAGAATTGAGGATTCGCTTAACTTCATTATGTGTTTCCCCTTCCACCACTATGGGGGCAGGAGCCGCCATCCCTACTGGTCTCAGCATGGATTCCTTGTACGGCTTTAATAAGCTGCACTGGAACACTGGATACATTTTACCCAGTAACCTTGGTAGTCTTAGCTCTATATTTACCGGATTGATCACTTTCACTATGGGGAAAGGGCCTACGTATTTTGGCCCTAACTTCTTGCAACTTTGCTTCAGTTTAAGGTACTTGGTGGACAGATACACCTTATCCTCTACATGGGATTCTTCCTGGACAGCTCGTTTATTCTCTGCCTGTTTTTTTCTGACCTTTGGCTGCCTTAATAATAATAATAAAATTGGAAGGGACCTTGGAGGTCATGTAGTCCAACCCCCTGCTCAGCAGGAAACCCAATACCATTTCAGACAAATGGCTGTCCAGTCTCTTCTTAAAAACTTCCAGTGTTGGAGCATTCACAGCTTCTGGAGGCAGGTTGTTCCACTGATTAATTGTTCTAACTGTCAGAAAATTTCTTCTTAGTTCTATGTTTATTCTCTCTTTGGTTAGTTTCCATCCACTGCTGTGCTTTGGCAAATAGCTTGACTCCCTCTTCTTTGTGGCAGCCCCTGAGATATTGGAACACAGCTATTTATTTATTTATTTATTTCTAAAATTTATATGCCGCCCAATCCCAAGGGATTCAGGGCGGCGTACAAAATTAAAACAATAATCTGACAATAAAACAATAAAATAAATACATTCATACAGCGTGTCCGATCATATCCCCCCCCCCCGGGGACATCAGCCCCAGGCCTGCCGGAACAGGAGAGTTTTAATGGCTTTCTTAAAGGCTGGCAGGGTGGGAGTAGTTCGAACCTTGAGGGGAAGTTGTTTCCACCAGGTCGGAGCCACCACAGAAAAGGCCCTTCCCCGAGGGCCCACCAGCCAACATTGTCTGGCCGACGGGACCTGAAGGAGGCCCAATCTATGGGACCTCACCGGTCTCTGGAAACTGTGCAGCAGTATGCGGTCCTGTAAGTAACCTGGCCCTATGCCATGAAGGGCTTTAAAGGTGATAACCAACACCTTGAACTGCGTCCAGAGACGCAATTCATCTCACACCTCGTCCTTCTCTTCATTAGACTAGACATACCCAATTCCAGCAGCCATTCCTTATATATTTTAGCCTCCAGTTCCCT